TCTTTATTCTATTCATACGAAGAAAAGCCGCTTGACGAGTCAAAGCGGAGCAAACAGATATTAAAAAAACACACGGACGGAGCTCCGCGTATTTAGAAATATTTTATTTCGAATTTAATGCGAAGAATTGTGTTATTTTTAATTTTATTTTTAAACCGGGTGGAGTGGAGATCCAATAAATTATACAACTGTTTAAATGCGTGGCTGTGCCGCGGTCATAACTTTTATTACATTTTATTAGGGGCCGAAATAAATTCAATTATAAAATTAATCAAATGAAATAGGTATAATCGCGGCAAAAATTTATGTTTGCAAATACGGGAAACATATAAAACATCAAAGCTACTTTGATGTAAAAAGACTACAGATTATGGTACGTTCTGTTACAAAAGCTCATTTTGCGCTAACGAAGTTTATTTATTATTTAGATTTATGAATTATTACTTTCGCTTTTACAATATCGATGAGAATGTATTTTTTAATGAATTTTACTAATTTTGAGCGTCCGTTTAATCGTATAAAGTGGCCATAAATCATCTTCATTTGAAAAAATAGAGAAATTGAAGAATCGAAAAATCGAGAAACTGATCAAGTAAAACATTGAAACACCGAAAAATTTATTTTAAAAATCGAAAAATTGAAAAATCTGGAACCAAGAAGTTGAAATATCGAAAGATCAAGAAATTGAAACAAAATCTAAAATTTAATGTTCGAAAAATTGAAAAACAGAAAAATCAAAGAACTGAAAAATCGAAAAATAGAGAAACCGAAAAATGTAGTCTTCATAATGGAAAATTAAAATTTGGAAAAATTGAAAATTGAAAAATCGACAAATCAAAACAAAAAATCGAAAAATTGAAAAATCTAAAATTTTAAAATTCAAAAACTAAAAAAACGAAAAAATAAAAAACTGAGAAATCGAAAAATTGAAAAAGTATCGAAACTAAAACACCGAAAAATTGAGAAATCGAAAAGTCTAAAAATGGAAGTCGAATAATAATAATAATAGAAAATTTGAAAAATCGAAAATGGAAAAACGAAAACCCGGAAATTCGTAAACTTGAATTGATAAACTGAAAAATCGAATCACTGAAAAGTCAAAAAATTGAGAAATGGGAAAATCAAAAAATCGATTCGATTTTTGACTCCTAGATTTTTCATTTCAGTTCTTCGATATTTCAATTTTTAAGTTTTCGCATTTTCCAAATATTTCGATTTCTTAATCTTTTAATTTTTCGACTTCCCGGTTTTAGATTTTCTGTTTTTCAATTGTCATTTTGTCAAATTTTCGATTTTTTAATTTTTCAAATTTGACTTTTATAAACTCTCAATTTTTCGATTTGTTAATTAATCGATGTTTTGATTTTTCCATTTCTTGACCTTCGAGTGTTTCGGTTTTCCTGTTCTTCAGTTTTTTAATTTTTTGATTTTTCAGGTTTTTGATTTTTCAATTTTTCGATTTTTTAAGGTTTCTATTTTGCGACTTCACTTTTTTTGATTTTTCGATTTTTCAGTTTTTCGCTATTTCAGTTTTAGGATTTTTCAATATTTCAATTCTTCGGCTTTTCCATTTTTGACCTCTGGATTTTTCGATGTGTCTACCTTTTTACTTTTTCGATTGTTCAATTTTTGGATTTTTAAATTTTAGATTTTTCAATCTTTCGATATTTTAATTTTTCAATATTTCTTAATCTTTCGATTTTTCGACTTCCTGGTTTTAGATGTTCTGTTTAAATTTTTCGATTTGTTAATTTTTCATTCCCGATTTATCGAGATTTGATTGTTTAGGTTTTCGATTTATCAGTTTTTCAATTTTTTATTTTGGCCTACTTCGCTGTATCAGTTTTTCTAGTTTGCCAGTTTTTCGTTTTTTGATTTTTCCGCATTTTCAATTTTTCAACTTTAACTTTTTGTTCGTCGATTTCTCTATTTTTCAATTTTTCGACTTCATCACTTTTCGATTTCTCGTTCTTTGGATTTTTCAATCTCTCAATTTTTTAATTTTTTGAATTTTTAAGTTTTTTGATTTCTCGATTTAGAGATTTGGATTTTTCAATATTTTAATTGTCAGTTTCTCAATTTATAAATTGTTCAATTTTTAACTTTTCGATTTTTCGATTTTGATCTATTTCGGTTTCTCAATTGTTCGACTTTTCGACTCCACGATTTCTTGATCTTTTAATTTTTCGATTCCTCGGTTTTTCGATTTTCCAGTTTTTCAAAGTTTTGATTTTTCAGTTATCCGGTTTTTTAAATTTGGGAGTTTCTATTTATGGATTTTTCGTTATTCGGTTTTTGAATTTTAGATTTTTGAATTTTACATTTTTTCGATTTTCAGTTCTTCGATATTTCGATTTTTCAATGTTTCAGTTTTACGATTTTTTAAGGTTTCGATTTTTCGATTATTTTAATTCTTCATTTTTTTTCTCACTGTTACTTACATACAAAACGCGAAAGTTCTAACTTAACATTTTTACGTCCCAACTGATTTTTGGAAAATTAGCAGCAATTTGCAGCTAAAATTAAACAAAATTATAAATGCGAAATGAATTTTCCCGCAAGATAAAGAATAAATTATAATTACGTTATTTGTGTGCTTCTGTCTATTTAAACTTTAAAGACAAAAACATGGCAGTCCAAAGTACGCACTCTACTTTTGTCACTTCTATGAACAGATGTTAATCAAATTATTAACAAATTTCTTTACAAAAGTTTAACAATTACGATGCACATAACCTTAAAAAAGCAATAAATCAATGACACAAGACACAAGTGATGTCCATTCTCTATTCGATTCTTGGGGATTCTATATATTTAGTAAAATTAACCTTGATAGATTGGTACAATTATACAAAATAACAATTTATCTGTTTTCTCACCAACGGTTTAACAGATTTTCCAAAGATTGTAATAAGACAATAATGTTGTCAATAAATAACAGTATTAAGAGTGGTCACCAGAAGGAAGAGGGGGCGGGTGGGCGGGCCTATTGCTTGTCTATAAAAGACTCACTAGGAAAAAGTTAAACTTAGCCCCGCCCACCACCCGTTCTCTCAGTTTTTTCTTCTGAAATAAGAAATAAATCTTATAATAAATAATACAACAAAAAAATATTAAGAGTAGTAACTGGAATGAAATGGGCGGGGCTATTGCTTGCCCATAAAAGACTCTTTTGGTAAAACTTAAACTTAGCCCCGCCCACCAACCCGCCTCCATTTCGGTAATTAATTTTAACTGCTCTGAATGAAACGTGGATCTTATACAGACAGAAAATTAGTCGCTAAAATGAGAAGAGGGGGGTGGGCGGGGCTAGTACTTGCAACGATAAGACTAATTTTTGCAGGTGACATATCTCTAAGAAAATAGAGGGTGGGTGGGTGGGGCTAGTAGTTGCAACGATAAAACTGAACAATATTAAGAGTAGTAACTGGAATGAAAGGGGCGGGGCTATTGCTTGCCCATAAAAGACTCTTCTGGTAAAACTTAAACTTAGCCCCGCACACCCACCCGTTCTCTCAGTTTTTTCTTCTGAAATAAGAAATAAATCTTATAACAAATAACACAACAAAAAAGTCACCATTACAGCCCAATTTCTATTAGTTACCACTCCCACTCTACAGAAGAACATATAACTAACCCCGCCCACCCACCCGCCTCCATTTCGGTGATTAATTTTAACTGCTCTGAATGAAACGTGGATTTTATACAGAAAGAAAATTAGTCGCTAAAATGAGAAGAGGGGGGGTGGGCGGAGTTAGTACTTGCAACGATAAGACTGAACAATATTAAGAGTAGTAACTGGAATGAAATGGGCGGGGCTATTGCTTGCCCATAAAAGACTCTTCAGGTAAGACTTAAACTTAGCCCCGCCCACCCACCCGTTCTCTCAGTTTTTTCTTCTGAAATAAGAAATAAATCTTATAATAAATAATACAACAAAAAAGTCACCATTACAGACCAATTTCTATTAGTTACCACTCCCACTCTACAGAAGAACATATAACTTCCTTATGCGGGTGGCAGCCACCAATCTTGTGCATGATTTGGCGTAAAATTTTCAATGCAACGAGATACTTAGTTCTTGTACAATTAGACCTGAAGTGTTCATTAATCCGTTTGTCTTCCACACAAAACTGCAGCTGACGTTTTCGTCCTTTTTTCTATCCCGTCTACATAAATTAGTTAACTGATTTAAGCTAATAAACTTTAACTTTGTATGTAATTGTATTATTCGCGCAAATTTTATTCTCTCCAAACATCAACCAACTTTCAGCGTTACTCTCGGATTATGCAAAGTACATTTCTAATTTTTTGTAGTGTAAAAAAAATGCGGAATGTAAGCGCTTCAAGGAAACTTGCTAGAATCCGTTCTCACACAACTTGTGTAACACTACGCTTCTGCACAGTTTAATTCCCACTTTACTTTAACTGCTCTAAAGCGTAAACCGAAAACTCTTTGCAACAAATAGAACATAACGTCTTAACTAAAAGTGAGTAAAGTAAGCGCTCCGTGCGACTTGCGTCTTATTTATACACCGAGTGTCTGGATATAAAAAAAAATTAAAACATGAGGAAACCGTTGCGTGTTGGTGATGCGATCCTTTTAATCAGATTAATATGGACTAAAAGATTGAAGCATGAAAGTTTGATCAGTGACAGTTACGATAACAAAAAGTGTGTCGTTTTGGTAAGGTCATGTGATGCGTGTGTCAATTATTGTTAATAATAAATGCTTTGACTGGTTGAAGTTGTAGTCTTCGTAATCTACATATATTGTTACGAAAGAAACCCATACGCCGCCCCGGTACGACGCCTATGGGTTCTAGTATGTATAGCGATGATGACTCATCGTCGATGACGACGGCCGGACCGCGTTCGCTAAATAAAAAATCTGGAAGCGGAAGTCGCGATGGGGAATCCAGAAAGACCTCGACTGCGCACTTTTAGAAGGGAAGTGTAACAATATCTTGTTATTGTGCGTTAACTAGTTTAATTTTTACCTGAACGTGAGTATGGTGAGCGGCCTGTAGGACTTATGGCTGGCGAGATCCGCCATCGGCGTCCCCCAGAAATCGTTCTTGAACGAATGAGCGAGCGGGTTGATCGCCAAGACGTCCTTATTGAGAGTCACAGCAGGGATGTCGTCGTGCACGAAATCGCCATTAAGCCCGTTAAGATAGCACGCCACGGCAACGGTGCTCACCAGGCTGTATATGGGCCACGAACTGGGCGCCTTTTTCCCCTCGGCAGAAGGCGCAGAGCCCGCACTACGCCGCTTCATATCTAATCTGGTGGAAGGTCACTGTCTTTATTACGCACAACGAATGTTTATTCGTGCCAGTTATGAAGACCACGAAGTCTCATTTTGCAGATACATTACTTCTGGTTTCACTTTCGCCCGATTTAATCGCGCCACTACCGTAAATTCTGATATTTTTAAAGCAAACACGGAGCCGCCCGAGATAACATCTTCTATGGAGATCAGGAGCAAGGAGAAGTCGCCGGGGGCAATCGATCTTAGCCCATTTAACGTAATGGGCGGCTTTGCGATGGGTGCTGCGGTGGTTTATGCGCCCATTGCGGTCGGAGGGGCTGCGGCCGGGCGGAGGACGAGCTGCAACAAAAAGGGACGGTTAGGTCGAGAAAATGGACCACACACTCACATTTCCACTCCAAAATTAAAGTAGTCGCAGTTTTTGTATTTTCGTTAGCTGAATTAATTTGCTTGTGTATACAGTTTTAACTTTATATTATGTGGCACAAAAACTGAGAGGTAGATCCGCAGTTCATATTTGTACAAAGTAAAAACTAGAGGAAATCTTCGTGTTATTTTACAGCCAAGTGAAAATATTTGCTTTAATGTAAAGTCTGACCCGGCGCATCCACCATTTCTCTTAATGTATACATATTTTAACTACGAACCCGATTTTCTTCCATTTATACTAAATATAAGCCATTCCAATACCCGAAGCTTTTCTTTTTATGGAAATGAATCAAACAAACAATTATGCTAACAGTGTGGGCGTTTTCCTTTGGTCAGTGTTTTCAAATATTTCAAATACTCCAATAACTCACGCCGTCGACAGTTCACTTAATAATTCAGTTCATTAAAGTGATTATTAAATAAGTTTTAGCCCCTCGTAGTGTTAATTTCTTAAAGTGTGATACGTTTCTCCACGACGAAAATCATCCACCAATCAATATCGTTGTAACGAAAATAAACCGGCACGAGTCCTTCGAATAACAAGACGTAGATAATTGCATTAACTCATTTTATGAAGTTGTTTACGGCATAATTAACAATTTTATACCAATAAAGAGACACAGGCAATCTGCACATCCTAAATGGTTTCCGTCGCAAATAAAACCTTTGATAAAACTGAAAAAGCAAGCTCGTAAAACGTACAAACATAATCGCCACTCACTTTTTCCAATTTGAGATCATTAACGTTAAGGAAAAATAGCACCGCTCTCACGATGGAACCCTGGAGAACTCCACAACTAACCGCGTTCTCGTTACATGAAATATTTGTGCGTGGAGAGACTTTTATAATATCACAAGTTAATCTCGATCCAAAACCGTCTAAAATTCGCTCATGCGGAACATTCCTCCTCGTAGTCGAACAAATCACCCTCTGCAGTATTTCTGCATAGCACTTCGTCGAAATGTGTGCCATTGCATCCGAAACGCTCAAACTATTGTGTACGCCACGCCATTGATGAGAATTACGTGCACTATCTATGTATCGCCGCATAACTCTGGACGTATCGATAAAACAGTCGTTGCACTCCATTCCGTTTTAATATCTCCAGTCTAAGTGGCACTTGCTTTTTTAATGGCCATTGGAGATCGGATACAGAAGCTCGTTATAAATTTAATATTGCGCTGTACGTTTTTATGATGTGTTTAAATAATGCATTTGTCGCGAATGTATTTTGCCAGCCCGCATAAAATGCGGTAATTAATGTTAATGGCATTTTCCACTTGCTTGATGTTTTGTGATTTTAATATGTAAAAACGAGATAAGTTTAATAGTTTCCATTAACGAATTATGAAATGCGTGCTGGAATCGGTGTTGTTTTAGAGTTTCAATTATATATTGTAGGGTAACAAAAAATATCGATTCGGGTGTGAAACTGGCGCATCCACCATTTTGTGGCGGGCAAAGGTTAAGCTAATTATTTTTTTACAGGACAACGATAATTATACAACGATTATTTCGAAGTCGGAGACAATCAGTCCAAGCATTGTGATTCCAACCTCAAACTGAAGAAACACAATTTGACGGAAGGGGTGTTTAAAAAACTGCCAATAAATTTAAAATTTATTGCTTTATAACTATGGGGAAGCACTTCGCAGCAGGTCAGGTCAAGTCAAGTCAGATCAAGTTGTCTGGTTAGATTAGGTCAAGTCAAGTCAGGCTAAGTCAGAACTGGTCTAGTCATATCATGTTAGATTAAGAGAGAAAAGATCAAATCAAGTCAGACCAGACTAAATCAAATCCGGCAAGGACGAGTCCGATCTAGTCTGTAAAGACCAAGTCAAATCAGATTATGTCAGGTTACGTCAGGTTGTCGGGTTAGGTTAGGCCAAGTCAAGTCATATAAGATCAAGTCAGGTCACGTTAGACGAATCCAGACCATGCTAGGTCAAATCACGGTGGGACAGGCCAGCTTAGAATTGTGCAAAGCAAGTCAAGTCAGGTCTAATCAGGCCAGACTAAGCTAGGTTGTGATAAATCAGATCAGGTCGGCACACGCTAAGTCAAATTAGATTATGTCAGGTCAGCCCAAGTCAGATAAGAACAAGTCAAGTCAAGTCAAGTCAAGTCACGTCAGACTAAGCCAGATCAGGCTAGATCAACTCACGCTGGAGCCAGTTCAGAGTTTTAGATTTTTTTCAAATTGTCGGTTTTCAATGTTCTGATTTTTATGTTTTTTTTTCAATGTGAAATTTTTCGGTTTTCAGTTTTTATATTTTTTAACTTTTTGCTTTTTCAGGTTTAGATTTTTCAGTTTCTCAATTTTTCAATTTTTCGTTTCATCAATTTTCGATTTTCAAAACTTTTTGATTTATTCGATTTTTCAATTTTTCGTTCTTTCAATGTTACAGTTTTTTGACTTTACAATTTTGACGATTCTATAATTTTCTGATTTTACAATTTTTGGGTTTTCCAATTTATCCATTTGATTCGTGTTTTCTTCTTTACAGTTGTTCGATGAATTAATTTTTTTCAACTTTTCACTTCTCCATTTGCAATTTTTCGATGTTTCACTTTTCGATTTTGCAATTTTTCGTTTTTTCAGTTTTCTATATTTTCCGATTTTTTGGTTTCCCGACTTTTAATTGTTCGACTTCTCAATTTTTCGAATAAAAAAAATGAAAAATTTGCAAAGTTGTAAAATAGCAAAATAATAAACCGAAAAAGTATTAAATGAAAACTTCGAAAACCTAAAAATTGAAAATAAAGAACTTAAAAAAATGAAGAAACGAAAAATTCAAAAATCGAAAGAAAAAGAGAAATTTAAAAATATTATAAAACTGAAATTTTGATAATTCAGGAAATCGGAAAATCGGTATATTGAGAAGTCCAAAAATTGCAAAACTGAAAAAAATTAAAATTGGAAATTCGAGGAAAATCATTGAAAATTTGAAGAATTGAATAAACGAAAAATTATAAAATCGAAAGAACATCGAAAAAATAAAGGAAATGAAAAAACGAAAATTGATATTAAATCGAGAAAATGAAAATTAAAAAATTGGAAAAATTAAAAATCAAAATCAAGAATTTGAACAATTTAGGAAACGAAAAACTGAACAAATCGAAAAATTGAAAAATGAGAAATTGGAAAGTCGAAAAAGTGAAAAATCGAAAAGAAGAAATATTATACAATTGAAATATTGTCAATTAAGGAAATCGGAAAATCGGTAAATTGAGAAATCCAAAAATTGCAGAACTGAGAAATTTAAAAATTCGAAAATCGACGAATTGAAAAACCAAACATTGAAAAAATAAAGGAAATGAAAAAACGAAAATTATGATATTAAATCGAGAAAATGAAAATTAAAAAATTGGGACAGTGAAAAATAAAAATCAAGAATTTAAAAAATTGAGAAAACGACAAATTGAAAAAATCGAAAAATTAAAAAATGAGAAACTGAAAAATCGAAAACAAGAAATATTACACAATCGAAATATTGTCAATTAAGGAAATCGGAAAATTGGTAAATTGAAAAATCCAAAAATTGCAAAACTGCAAAATTTAAAAATTGGAAAATCGAGGAAAAACATCGAAAAAATAAAGGAAATGAAAAAACAAATCGAGAAAATGAAGATTTAAAAATTGGGAAAATGAAAAATCAAAATCAAGAATTTGAAAAATTGAGAAAACGATAAACTGAAAAAATCGAAAAAATAAAAAACGAGAAACTGAAAAATCGAAAAAGTGAAAACTCGAAAAAGTGAAAACTCGAAAACAAGAAATATTATACAATTAAAATATTGTCAATTAAGGAAATCGGAAAATCGGTAAATTGAGAAAATTGCAAAACTGAAAAATTTAAAAATCGGAAAATCGAGGAAAAACATTGGAAATTTAAAGAATTGGATAAACGAAAAATTATAAAATCGAAAGAAACATTGAAAAAATAAAGGAAATGAAAAAACAAAAATTGTGATATAAAATCGAGAAAATGAAAATTAAAAAATTGGTACAATGGAAAATAAAAATCAAGAATTTGAAAAAAAATCATAAATTAAAAAATTAGAAACTGAAAAATCGAAAACAACAAATATTAAACAATTGAAATATTGTCAATTAAGGAAAGCGGAAAATCGGTAAATTGAGAAATCCAAAAATTGCAAAACTGAGAAATTTAAAAATTGAAAAATTGACGAATTGAAAAATCAATCATTGAAAATCTGAAGAATTTAACAAACGAAAAATTATAAAATCGATAAAAACATTGAAAAAATAAAGGAAATGAAAAAATGAAAATTGTGATATAAAATCGAGAAAATGAAAATTAAAAAATTGGGCCAATGAAAAATCAAAATCACAAATTTGAAAAATTGAGAAAACGAAAAACTGAAAATCGAAAAATTAAAAAATGAGAAACTCAAAAATCGAAAAAGTGAAAAATCGAAAACAAGAAATATTATACAATTGAAATATTGTCATTTAAGGAAATCGGAAAATCAGTAAATTGAGAAATCCAAAAATTGCAAAACTGAGAAATTTAAAAGTTGGAAAATCGACGAATTGAAAAATCAAACATTGAGAACCTGAAGAATTTACTAAACGAAAAATTATAAAATCGATAGAAACATTGAAAAAATAAACGAAATGAAAAAACAAAAATTGTGATATGAAATCGAGAAAATAAAAATTAACAAATTGGGACAATAAAAAATAAAAATCAAGAATTTGAAAAATTTAAAAAACGAAAAACTGAAAAAATCGAAAAATTAAAAAACGAGAAACTGAAAAAGCGAAAAAGTGAAAAATCGAACACAAGAAATATTATACAATTGAAATATTGTCAATTAAGGAAATCGGAAAATCGGTAAATTGAGAAATCCAAAAATTGCAAAACTGAGAAATTTAAAAACT